ATCAAGGAAGTTGCACCACTTCCGTGCGCTGTTTCCTCGCACCCAGGCGGCAGAGGAGGCAGCGGTGTGACAGTGTGACTGTTCTTCCCGCATATGTGGCTCAAAACAGAGAGAATCAGTTCACTCTCAGACCGTCAAAGATTTCTGTCTGATATCAGGAGCCAACAACAAAGAGATTCCAAGATTCCAATGGTCTTTTCATAGCCGATGTTCATTTGGTACAGACAGGACTCCTACTAGCTGACTCGACCGGATCTGTTCGAGGTCGCTCTCTGCCCGGCTGCCATCTGGTGCCCCCTCTGGCCTCAAAGAAGACCTTTAAGAGCAACTCCATCTGGCTTAAAGCACTCCACCCGTTCAACAAGCGCCTGGTCACAACGATGCGGTACCCGTTCGCTAGCCACTCACAAAGGCTCGAGCGGATCTGGTGACAGTGTGCAGCCAAGTCAAAAACGTAGGGCCGGAAACATTAGAAACAATGGTGGATGGCCTGTGGTGTTTTTTATGTTTTTTCTTCCAAAGGGTGCTCTACCTGAGAGATACGCAAGGCCATGAATGGTCAACTGTGAGAGATACAGCAGCCGAACTTCTCTGATTGGAGAAACCTAAGATCCCAGCGCCACTCGCATCATGCGAGCCAAGCGCACAAGGCGGATGATGCGTGTCATGCGCAAGGCTCGCATGGAGTCTGCAGCCTGGCGGCCCCAAAAATTGAGGACAGAAAGAGCATGTAAGGGATTGTGAGGGGCGGTGAACTTCTTGTCATCCCTTGCAGATCCCTGGTCTGATTCCATAATGTGAAGGTAAGAGTAATAATGCCCTGATTCGTGAAACCAAATCATTCTTGATACAGCCTTGACCTAAGATTAGAAATATATATATATAAGATTGTATAAGTAGACTGGGTGGCACATGGTCAATTTCAGTAGAGATTGAGTCACCCCTTCTGCATTGCTTCCATGTCTCAATGTCTTTCAAGTTTCCGCTGAATTTATTTCAGACACCTTTGCACTCCTTAGACAGAACGTCTTGTTGCTTCTCTTCAAGTCCTTTTGAACTCCTTTTGGCTCCTGTGATGTCCTTTGACTTCAATGTGATGATCCTTTTTGTACTCCTTGTGAACTGGGTTTCAGCTGAAGCCCAAATAACACCTTGCCTCTCCGCATTGAACGGCGCACCCCAGACAGTGGTTTCAGGGTAGATGGCACAATCCCCAAAAGATGCTTTATATCGAGCCCAATCTAAAAGCTTCTTGGGGTTTGTGCCATCTACTCTGAAACCACGGTAACAAACTAATTATTAATTCTATAAGGCCAGGCAGAACGATAGAACTGTAGAACCAAACAAAAGTAGCGAAAATCTTCCTCGGGCAGGTTGAAGACGGGGATGGCAGCACAGGACAGTGGTTTTCTGTTCTCTCAAACATGGTTTCAGCGCATGATTCTGTGCTGGACAGTTGCAATGTGGCTTCTCTGGCGTGCATTCTGTGAAATCCCAAAGAAGTCCAAAAGATCAAAAGCATGAACTCCCCAAATCCCATCAGAACCCTTGCAGCCTTCAGCCTGCAGCCTTAATGCAATAAAGACCAGATTCCATTTTTTCTGTCTGCAGGGATTTCGGCATGCAACCAAATGATCTCGCTAACAAATGAGTGTTTGTCTCTTCTCCCTTCTGCTACCGTGCTGGTAGCCTGGCTCGACCCTGCCTGGTGCATGTTGTGAACTTCTAAATGCCAGAGCAGCATCATCCATTCCACGTAGTTTGGTAACTCAACCGGTCAAGGATGCGACTGAGGAAGCACTGATCCCAAAAGCTAGTGCACTGATCCCAAATAAGCGACACGTGAAAACTCCTAGGACAACGCGACAGGTGTCAGATCTTGCATCTGGGTGGGGCAGCCAAGACCCAACATTTCACCGGTGTCGTCTCCACAGTGAACCCCAATGGACCATGGCAGGTGAAACACCACACCCATTGGTCCATGGGTCCAAGAGAGTGCTAAGGCCAAGGCCACGACCAGAATGTCAACTATATTGAAACCTGACAGACTGATTTCTGACAGTAAGCAACTCTCGTGCTCTCTGTCCCAATGTGCAACACATCATGCACCTAAAAGAATTACATCATATGTAGCTGAGCTGTTTATGTATGTCGACACAATTCTCTGTGAGGGCTTCCTGCACAACTTTGAGGTTAAGCTCTGAGGCTGATTCTCTTGATGAAACGTGTAACAAGGAGACTATTAGGTGGAGGCCGTCGCAAGTAGGTTGGAGTCCATCGCTACTAGTTTATGACAAGAAGCTACGTACTAGTAGCAAGGATGTAGGAACTGTTTTCACTCTTTATAGTAGGAGTGGCCCATCCCATCCCATTTGCTTGGATTTTGGTTGGTGTCACACCAGGCCAGTCCAAACAGCATCGTTGATTACTGGAAGACACTTTTCCCCGTCCAACATCCAAGAAGTGCATGCTCTTGGCTTGACAGTACACTAAGATTCGAGCAGTTCGCGAAGAACTCCCAAACAGAGCTGCGCACATGAAAGCGCACGCAAAGCCTGAACGTTCTGTTCAGGCATTCCCGTGCCATTGGCCAAAAAGCAGTGTATGGCACTGGCACCATGGAATGACTGGCGAAAGCACAGGGCCCAATGCAGGAATGTGTTTTCCATCTTTTTCCAATATTCATGGTCAGTTATTGGGCGAACTCCTTGACAAACAACGTCTACAATGGTACCAGTAATCATGTTGGTATAGTCAATTCTCTTTGACATGATCACACAAGCTGCTTGTTGTCAAACTGTCTGAAGAATGGGGCAGCCCACTCCACTGAGAAGAACACGGCGATGAGAAAATCCTCAAAGCAGTCACTCCACGCTCGTGTCTTCGCACTTTGATGTTTGTATTCAGTCCTTAGTCCTTAGGTCTCCCCTAGGTGCCCGACCACGAGCTGAAAGAGCAGTCGATATGAATGCAGCTCGGGCATCGTCTCAACAATCGTGGCGGTCTTAGAAAAGGAGTCGAAAATGCATAGACTTCACGTGACCTCACAACGACCCAACTTGCAAAGGCCTTTGCTCAGGTGTAGCTCTGGACCCATGAAGGGCAGCTCTCTCAAGTCTAGAGATTGCGGAGTAAGACACGGGCCGTCCCAATGATGATAGCTGCCAAAATCATGTGGAAAACACCTGTTGAAACGCTTCACTCTATAATATAAAGTATAGTAGAAAGTATGATGAGTCTACCATTTTTAGTCTACCATAATAGTCTACCAGTATCTTGCACGGTGTACCTCTGCATTTAAGACAATTATGACTGCAAAGTCTGCTTCACATTGTGAGAGTCCTCTAATAGAAAATGTCCTTTCAAATGCCACCTGAATGCTCGCCATCCAGCATCCTCCTCCACTTTTCTCGTCTTGCCTCCTGCAAGGAAATGTAAGTAAATGCATCGGCAGTATTTTCTGATCAAATGACTGAATGAGCTGCCCAATTACCTGAAGCCAAGCTGAAAACAAGAACTCCAAACTTTGTGGTGAGACGGAAGGTTGATTTGTCGGAAAAAACAAATGGCACAAAGCAGAAGCAGCTCCTCCTCCATCAGGAGCCCTGAATCCGTTGACCGACGAAGGCCTTGAAAACAAGCTTGTTCTCTGCAGGGACCACTGCACATCTCTCCAATTGAAAACGAGCTTCTCCATCCAGCTGAAGCTAGAGAAGACTGATTGCATCTGTATCATCTGTAAGTGACTCAAGCAAGCGCGATCGGCTGGGGAGAACCTACCGCAGCACAACTCCCCTCACAACGTCCGAGGCATGCTGCCTTCTTCTGTCATCACCAGCAGATTCACCGACGACGGAAGTCTTCAACCATGCTGTAGCAAGAAAATCCTGGCTCCATGTCGCTTTATACTGCTTAAGTTTAAGTTTGACTATGCTGTGAAGTTAGGATGGCTTGTAATTGTAGGCTTGGCCAGTGTTTTGAGTGATCTTGTGCTGCTGTCCGGTGCTGCAACTCCAGACCAAGGTTACAATGCTGTAGCAAGCACCTGGCATCTTGATCAACACACACCTATTGCTCTCCTATCAATATCCTTTCTGTTTCAAGTCGGTGTTGCTTGAAAGGTCCGAGTATCACAAATAGGTCCTGCTCCAGGTGCTGCTTCGAAAAGTATCGTGCAGTAGTTTGCAACGGTCAAACTTTAGGTTGGTCTAGTCTTGCTTCAGAAATGCTTACCAAACCTCTGCTGCAGGAAGATACATTTCGAATCATTTCGACATCCTGTATTCCGATGGTGTTTAGGGATGTTCAGACTCCTTAGGACTATCGTGCCATGCTAGTAGTAACAAGTGCCACGCTAGTAGTAACAAGTGCCTTACTAGTAGTAACAAAGAAGCTTACTAGTAGCGATGCACTTGTTTCTAATAGCTTCTTTGTTACTACTAGTAAGGCACTTGTTACTACTAGCGTGGCACTTGTTACTACCTGTATTCCGATGGTGTTTAGGGATGTTCAGACTCCTTAGGACTTAGGCCACTTTCATGTTAATCGTCTTCCTGACGTGTGTTTCTTTTCCCAAGCCCAGTTGCCACGCTGCAGAGTTAACAAATTATCAGTACGAATACTACCTGACAACATTTAAGCTCACTTAAACACGAGCCTACCACCACACAGCAGGTTTTGTTGACCCTCTGGCCCTTCGCTAGCTGAGTTTTGACAATTAAGCTCTGCAAAGTGGAGCCCAGTAACCCGAAAAGGGCTTTCAGGCAAGTGCATTTGTATGTACTAAAGTATTGGATGTCTACACCATCCTGCATTTGGAAAAGGCGTCGGTCTGGTGATGCAAATACGCAAAAACCCTAAAACCTTCCAATTCTTGTGTAGTAGAGTGTAGAGTTTCTCATCCAAGCGTATCCAAATGTTTTGCAGTTGGAATCCACTGACACTTGAAATCTTCATCATCTTCGGTTCACCTTCACACAGGGGTAGCCAAACACTCTTTTCCCGACATTCTGCCGCTCACAAGTAAAGCAGCAAATTGTGTAGGTATGGATGAGGTCTGGCTTGGTTTTCAGCCGGAAAGGTTTAAGCCCATCTTTGGGGCTCACCTGCTGGTCACAGCACTCACGTGCTCGAAGCGCTGGCGGAACTCCGCACCTCTAAACCACAAATGGCAAAACAGTGTCAAGTAGGTTGAAGAGTGTGACATGTTTGTGACTTTCCAACATCTTGGGACAAACACAATCTCCAGAAGTTACATGAAGTTACTTGGTATATCAATTATTAATATAGTACAAAACTCCAAAACTCCTGGAACACGCTTGTTGAAACTCATTTGCGTCTGCTCCAAGTCACGGGATTTCCTCGGATCAGGCCACTCGTAAAGCCTTCATTGGGAATAAATGCTCGGCCTTGGCAACTGGTCATCGCTTGATCAGATCCAAAAGCCATCCCTGAGACCAACTTCATCAAGCTACACGGTACTCTTTGTTTGTTGAACATGCTGTTCTTGTTCACGTCAGGCGTTGCATTAAATTAAAACCATACATGTCGCCTCCTTCCTCTGATTCACATCAATCAAATTCTAGTCCAGTCCATGTGTTATTTTACATTGTTTCAGTGTAAATGCAGTGGAAACATGTGGAAACCTATGAAAACTCTTGGTTCAAACAAACAAAGAGACAGTGCTGCTATGTGGCGACACATGTCTCTACTCGAGCGGCACAAAACTACTATGGCATTTCATAGTTTCTGGTATCGTATGCTGCCAAATGACTACTGCAAAACATGAAACAAGTGCTTCAGCAAAGAACATGCAGGCCACAGTGCTCCAAACATCTGGAAATTTCAGCACACTTACTTACATATTAGACCTTGTTGGGCCATACCTTGCTTGATAAGAGCCTGCAGATCTGGGCAAAAGGCGCATTAGTCTAAGTCTAGACTCGCGCTAGGAATGCCCAGCGGCGGCAACAATTTGAGGTGCTATTGTGATTTGGGGGATGGTACGGCAGGTCAAGCGTGGTTTAAGGAAGTTGTGTACCACTTCCTACATGAAGACTCAAATCCTCCCGCGAACAACCTGCTTTTGCTGTGCGTTTATTGTGGCTCCCACTGCACATTGGCAATCTTCACTGCCTGCATGTTGTTTTTGAAAAACATGATGCATGGATGGATGGATGGATGGATGGATGGATGGATGGATGGATGGATGGATG